GCTTTGCTCGATGCCGGGCGGGGCCCGATGCCGGACTTCGGTCTGATGTCGGGCGGAGCCTGATGCCAGACATTGTCCGATGCCGGGCGGGGTCCGATATAGCGGGCACGGCCCATGTTATGTTATTATATGATTATGTGATCATGTGTATGTTATGTGGTAATTTGGGGATACTCACTAAGCTTTGTGCTTACAGTTTTCAGTTTTGGTTTCAGGTACTTCCGGTAGCAATGGGAAGAGCTCGGGATGACTGCAGTGCAAACACCATGATTTTAGCCCGAGATATTTTTACTCTGATATGTTTGACATATGTTTATGATGTTTTGAGAAAAAAATACTTATGATTTTCATGTGATGTTTTGATAACTATGGTTTTATTAATAAATAAAAACGTAATTTTTGGACCGTATTTTTGGGATGTTCCACATTAAGTGCTCATTGAAACCATTTAAGAACATATAAACCCTCAAGTTCCACAAGAAGGGTTTACTAGTCTATTGTTCACTTGAGCATTCCAAAACTCATAAGGTTTATTACCAACTTATTGAACACTCAAATGAATGTAGTTGAGTACATAAAACCACAACCAAACTCATTGTAAATACCTAATATAACTATGAAATCCTCAATTCCATTCCATGTTCCCAAATTGCCCTTTTGGTTAAAACAATCATTAGAGTAGAATCCCTTCATGTTTATGCTCTAGTATCATCTTTAGAGTGTCAATTCATATACATGAATGTCATTCACTTCTAACAAGTCAATCATGAGGTAGTTATCCATAGATTTCCCAAAATGCCCTTAAGGCCAATATTACATATTTTAATCTAAGAATCATGTAATATCATATGTTTTGAATTCAATACATTCTAAGAATATTCATTCATGATTATGAACTTCCTATACTCATCAATTGTTCAAATACAAGGATTCCATTGTTTTCATCATATTGTCCCCAAATCCATTTCAATCCAAGCTTAAACATGATTCTACCATCATGGATGAGTTTGACCATTCCAATTGGACTTATTGTTGTTAAACATCATGTAGGTCATAGAATCCATATCGATCTAACATATAAACATGAAATCCCCAATTTGAATATCTAGGGTTCATGAGGGTTTTCACCCAAATCCTCAAATCCATCATGGAATGATTGGAGTGAGGTTGAGATCATAAAAACTACCCAAAACAGGTTAGAAACCAATTCCCCAATCATTATATCCTTCAAATTTTGACATTGGGTTTTACCCACTTCACCAAAAACGATTTCTAGGCCAAATGGGGAGAAGATTTCTACCTTGCAAGTTTTGATTCCTTCTTTCCTTTGCTTGATTGCGTAATTCTCCACTTGAGTCGAACATTAGATGATAGAGGATGGAAAATCGCCATCGGAGAAGTCTCTAGGATGAAGAACACGAATCTGAGAAATGAAATGAGAGGGTGTGCATCTTATTTTCCCATTATTTCACATTTGGTCCGTCTAGTTTCAGCATTTTTGCCAAAACCCACCAAGCCTCAATATTTGTTATTTCAACTTAAGTTTTGACATAATAAGTTCTTCTCCATCCGTCATATAAGTTTTACAGTCCTTTCCACTATCTGCGTCAACCAGTTGGTCAACTCATTCTATTTTTCCAATTTGACACTCTTGGCCCTTTAACTTTCAAAACTGTTATTATTTTCAATTATAACTTTCTAAACTTCATATAAATTAATGATATGATTATCCCTTGATGATTTATTTATATAAATCATTTTTCATTTGTTTACTTTATTAATTTAAGAATCTAATCTTAAATTTTTTAGATGTTACAGTTATCTACCCCTTAAAAGGATTCTGTCCTCGGAATTACTTCGTGATCCTTCTCGTTAGAATTAAATCCCGTCACTTTTCAATTTCCTCAATGATCACATCATTGTGGTTATTTGTCACAATTGCATTTCGTTCTAATAATGAATAATACATCCTTAGGGGTTATTAATCCTCTTGGACACTTTTACCCCTTTGTCCTTTTTGAACTTTTAACAACATCATGGACGTAAGTCACTAAAATGAAAAAAATACCCCTAAAAGGTACCGCACGTAAATCCGAGTCCGTATGCAAAAGTTATGAAAAAATTACATGAAGATGATTAGGGCATTCCACGCCTGTGGAATGATTGGCCTTGCCATTCCACGGTCGTGGAATGAGGTCTGCACACACAAAAATCTCGAATTTTCTCCATATAGCACCCTTCTTTACATAGTTCTTGAAGACCCTTGTCCCATTCACGTTGTACCATTTGTTTAGGTTCTTACACATGATTAGGGGGTGTTTTATCATCCCAAAACACCCCACTTAATTCATTAAGTTCTCATTGAAACCATTTAAGAACATATAAATCCTTAAGTTCCACAAGAAGGGTTTACTAGTCTATTGTTCACTTGAGCATTCTGAAACTCATAAGGTTTATTCCCAACTTATTGAACACTCAAATAAATGTAGTTGAGTACATAAAACCACAACCAAACTCATTGTAAATACCTAATCTAACTATGGAATCCTCAATTCCATTCCATGTTCCCAAATTGCCCTTTTGGTTAAAACAATCATTAGAGCTAGAAATTCACTAGAACCCCTTCATGTTTATGCTCTAGTATCATCTTTAGAGTGTCAATTCATATCCATGAATGTCATTCACTTCTAACAAGTCAATCATGATGTAGTTATCCATAGATTTCCCAAAATTCCCTTAAGGCCAATATTACATATTTTAATCTAAGAATCAAGTAATATCATATGTTTTGAATTCAATACATTCTAAGAATATTCATTCATGATTATGAACTTCCTATACTCATCAATTATTCAAATACAAGGATTCCATTGTTTTCATCATATTGTCCCCAAATCCATTTCAACCCAAGCTTAAATATGATTCTACCATCATGGATGAGTTTGACCATTCCAATTGGACTTATTGTTGTTAAACATCATGTAGGTCATAGAATTCATACCTATCTAACTTATAAACATGAAATCCCCAATTTGAATATCTAGGGTTCATGAGGGTTTTCACCCAAATCCTCAAATCCATCATGGAATGATTGGAGTGAGGTTGAGATCATAAAAACTACCCAAAACAGGTTAGAAACCATTTCCCCAATCATTATATCCTTCAAATTTTGACATTGGGTTTTACCCACTTCACCAAAAACGATTTCTAGGCCAAATGGGGAGAAGATTTCTACCTTGCAAGTTTTGATTCCTTCTTTCCTTTGCTTGATTGCGTAATCTCCACTTGAGTCGAACATTAAATGATAGAGGATGGAAAATCGCCATCGGAGAAGTCTCTAGGATGAAGAACACGAATCTGAGAAATGAAATGAGAGGGTGTGCATCTTATTTTCCCATTATTTCACATTTGGTCCCTCTAGTTTGAGCATTTTTGCCAAAACCCACCAAGCCTCAATATTTGTGATTTCAACTTAAGTTTTGATATAATAAGTCCTTCTCCATCCATCATATAACTTTAAAGTCCTTTCCACCAGCCACGTCAACCATTTGGTCAACTCATTCTATTTTTCCAATTTGACACTTTTGGCCCTTTAGTTTTCAAAACGGTTATTATTTTCAATTATAACTTTCTAAACTTCATATAAACTAATGATATGATTAACTTTCTAAACTTCATATAAAATAATGATATGATTACCCTTGATGATTTATTTATATAAATCATTTTCCATTTATTTACTTTATTAATTTAAGAATCTAGTCTTAAATTTTTAGGATGTTACAAATCCGATAGTCCAAAAGATTCAAGTTGTCTCTTCACAAAGTGTTCAAGTTGTTTCTTCACAATCCAGGGGTTGGAATGCCCAAAACCTAAAGTGATGAATAATCAAACTTCTAATTGACATTTTGATGCTAGAGTTGTAATATAATCTTGACTCTAACATCAAAACGCAATCTTAAACCTAATTCTACCATTAGTTTCGAATTCAAAATGATTTCTTAAGTTTAGATAAGAAATGGAGAATATAAGTTTGAATAACTACCTAGTACTAAGATTTTATGAGATATAAACTTATAATCTCTAAGTTTGCCTTTAAATCAAGCTCTTAAACCCTTCCAAAGCTTCAAATGGCCATTTTGTTCTCTTCTCTTTCAAAATCGATCCAAACGTGGGAGAAGAAAAGATGTCGGGGTGTTTAAGCCCCATCTTTATAAATTTGTCAACTTTGGTTCATGTATTTCTCATTTCTCATATTTAGCCTTAAAAGACTCCAAATCTCTCCACTAACTTTTATATTTTCAAAAGACAAAATTACAAAAATGGTCCCTGTGGTATGCATTTTTTTGGGGTTGCAGTCCAAACCTCGAATTTTTTGGATTAGTGGTCCTTTTGAGCTAGTTTACATGCAGTTTTGGTCCCTGTCCAAACTAAAAAGACTATTATACCCTTAATGAATTTAGTTTTCATTTTTCTTTCATTTTTTAAAGCTATTATTATTATTAAATAAAAAATCAGGCCCACCTCTCTTTCTTTCTCTCTCTCTCTCTCTCTCTCTTTCTCTCCATCTCTCCAGAAAAAGAAACAAACCCAATTTCCATAACCACCATCTTCTTCCTTCTTTCATCTTCTTCCTTCTTCCACCTTCGTCTTTTTCTATTTTCTTTTAACAGACCTTGTTTCAACAAAAAGAAAATCAAGATAGAAGAAACCACCGTGTCTGCCCCAGAAACTATCATTATTTGCCTCACAACCCTAGCTCTACAGATTGATGATTGTTTATCAGACCCATTCCCGTCTCTCTATCAATCTCTTGGTGTACCTACATCTGTATGTTTTTTTGTATACCTACATCTGTATATTTGGTCTCTGATTTGGCCCTCTCATCCCCGATTTTGTTCCAGGTATATTGGATGGACTTTAATTTGTTGGTTTGAAGTTGTTTTTGTATATAATGTTGTTTATTGGAAAATCTTGGTAGTGATTCCAATAAGTGTCAAATGGTGGAGCTTATGAAAGACCTAAGAGCCGACACAAATGAAGGAGGTGGCGGCTACTGTGATTTACCTCGATGGAAAGAAGGAAGGCGGTCGAAGCAGTGGGTCACAACAGGTGGAGGGCGGAGTGGGTTGAGAATGACGGTGGCAGCCGGTGGTGCTTGCTTTGGCGACTCCCACTGTTTCTGTTCATTTCTTCCGGCGAGGTCGACGGGTGAGCCACGATGGGAGGAAGGAGTAAGGGTCGGGGATGTTTGGGGTTGCTGTACTCGACAAAATAAACACGGTGGTGGTGGGTTTTTACCATGGCAGCGTGGAGTGGCGGAGGGAGCTGCTCCGGTGGCCGGCAACGGTGGTTCTTGGTTGTAAGTGAAGAAGAAGGAAGGGGAATGTTGGTCCGGTGAGGTATGAACGAGAGAGAGAGAGAGACAGAGAGAGAGAGAGAGAAATTGGCCCTTTTTTATTATTAAAATAAATAAATAGATGATATATTTAAAAAAATCAAAGAAAAATGAAAAATAAATACCCCAAGGGTATTACAGTCATTTTAGTTTACTGAGGGACCAAAACTGTATGTAAATTAGCTTAAAAGGACTACTAATCCAAAAAAGTCGAGGTTTGGACTAAAACCCCAAAAAAATACATATCACAGGGACCATTTTTGCAATTTTGTCTTTTCAAATCTAACCAATTAAATAGTTTGAATTGAATGCAAATCAACCATAATCTTTGTCTTATTAATCAAAATATATACTAAAGTTTTAATTCTTTTTTCCTCTATGTTTATTTTAATTAATTTTAAACTTTTAAATTACTATTTTTGTTTATTTTAATTACTTATTATTATAGTTATTATTTGTTTGTATTTATTTTCATCTAAAACTTAAACTTTTAGCCATAAAACACGGATGTTACATATTAGTTATTTAACATTAGATAGAGACCATCTCCGTTACAAAATAAAACCTTACGAATCAAATAACTAGAAAAAAAAAGGTTGAACCATCACTGCCTATCAATAGAATTACTATACAACCTAGGGGTGTGCAATAAACCGCACAAACCGCATAAACCGTCCGCACCGCACCAAACGCACCGCATAACGCGGTTTAAAACACTTGCGGTGCGGATTACGGTTTGTATTTTTGTTAAACCGCATTATGCGGTGCAGTTTGCGGTTTACGATTACAAAATTATGGTTTAAACCGCACCGCATTGATAAAATTAATTAATGATTATATATATATTCGAAAATAATTTGATAGGTCCTAAATTAATGGCATTATCTTAAGTTCTTGAAATGTAATTTTAATTAATCCAAAGTTTAATGTAAAATTTAATGGAGTGACCATATTTTTTATCTCAATTTCATTTTCGGTGACCATTATTTTATGGTCACTATGTTTTCTTAACTTATGTATATTCATAAGTAGTTAATGACCACAATTCTATGACCACCAAATTTTTTAATTACCACTTAGTGAGCCGTTAGTGACGACAATGATAGTATTGTCATTAAATTTAAAGTAAATAATTACTCAAACCGCAAAACCGCATAAACCGTCCGCACCAAACCGAACCGCAGAATGCGGTTTTGAACGTTCGCGGTGCGGTTTTGGCTCTAAACCGCACCAAACCGCACCGCGCACACCCCTAAATTACAACCACAATGTCTCTTTTAAGTTTTTGTGATATAAATAATTGGATACAAATTATGTACATTTCAACATGTCAGTCTAATACATAATAATTGTTATATTTTAGGTATTTTGTATCCTAATAAGTTTTGTTTTGTTTTGTACTAGTCTAAACGAATGTTACATGAAGAATCTATCGAGCCCTTTGAATCTAGTTTAGTCAGGGACGGACACATGATTTCGTAGTAGGCGTTGCCGATGATACATTTTTTTACGTAGTGACACAATAGTAAAAAAAACGACAAATTCGAAAATTTTTACACAACGTCCGGAAAAACATCGGTTAACGGTGCCAATATGGGCACCATAATGGAACCGCCCCGGAGTTTAGTCCGGTTTCATCATATTCAATACAGTCTCGTTATATGTACCAAATACTAACGATAAGTTTAGATCCATTTAACAACATTAGCATGTCGATTTAATAAATGTTTTAGAGGGATGATGATGGCATTGGCCTAAGAGTAAACAATTGAAATTTAAAGGACCAAAAATGCAAAATATTTATAGTTGCAGGAATATTTTTGTGATTCAAGCTAAAATTGAAATGATGCGATCGTGAGGATCGGAACGGTGTATCATGAACCCCGACCCAAAAATTAAAGATGTGGGATCTCATAAGCGTATTATGCTTTTTTATAATAATTAAATTTATGATTAAAATATATTAATTCTTTATATAATTTATATTTTTCGTATAAAAATACAACAATAGTTTTGGAGCACAGTCTTAAATGCAAAACCCCACCACCTACTCTTTACGTTCCACATATACTTATGGGTACCCTATATTTATATAATAATTAAAATGATTTTTTTTGGTACCCTGGGTTGCCCTTGGTAATATACATATTATTTAAAAAATCGTCTTTAAAATTTAAAATTTTAAAATTAATGTTTTAAACAAATAAAATATGGTCAAATAGTCATTGCATTTACGAGCCATCATAGTTACATTATTGGCACACATTTTTTGTTGACTACAAACTTATATAATTTTCGTATCACATTTACTTGAGTTAACTAATATAAATTACTAATTTGATATAACAAGACTTGCAAAAAAAAAACATTCATACTTATAACTGTTGATTCTTTATGTCATATAATGATATAACTTTATCAAGACTAGACAAAAAATATATAAGTATTATATGCATAATAATATTAGTATGAGATTTAGTTTTCATTCTACTATCACACGTCTACGTTATCCTCTCCACCGATTCCTATTTTCCCAGAAACCCACCGCCTCCCATTCTTCAACTCCATCGAAATATCAAAGATGGTGGGCAGCAAGCCGATTTCTGGTTCCGGTCGTTCTTTGGTTGTGCTATTCATCGTCAGAAATCGATTAAGAGAGAGGCAAACAATATTTTCTCCAATTTCTATTCACCATGACCCATACAATCGAACGCTGCCGACTCCCCCTTATCAGATTCTCCCCACCACCTCCCTTATCCGATATCTCCATCCGTGTCGAATCGGCCTCATTTCCTCTGCACTTTCTACTCCGTCGCAACAACGCAACGAGATGCACACAAAGATTGGTTGACTAAAGATCCACAATCGCTTGAGGTAAGGTCCTTCAACCCTATTTCTGTTTTTCTGATCTTCGTTTATTTCAATTTCTCTTTGTCGGTTTGGTTTTGGTGATTATCGGCTAATGATTCTTTAGGGGTTCATAAATATGTCGACTTTTGGAAGCTTGAAAATGAGAATACTATGGGTCTTCAGTTAACATTCTTATGGTTTGGCTGAGCTGGGCACCAGGTGTTCACTGAAATGTCACAAAGAATGTTGAAAAATTTGATGTTGGAGTTGAATTCGATGACGTTGAAATCTTTATTTTTTTTAATATGTTGGTTTTTTGATCATTTCAGGGGAACAACAAATCCATGTTTATTCCTAACAAGCCCTTCACGTTCATCTCTTTCCTTGCTCCACCTCCTTCGAGTTTCTCCCCTTTCTCTGAGATTGTGCATCAATAGGTAACATTTTTATCAAACCCACTAGCGTTTTTTATTTGTGTATTTGCTCCATTTGCATGTTTTTGTGGAGTTTTGCCTTGGCTGCTATAAATTAGGGCTTAAAAAGCTTGTAATTTGGAAATCAATCTGTTGACACTGTTGTATTTGACCGTGGATGACTGGCTAAGAAAACACATAAGGGTGAGTCATAGTTGGTGTAGTTTGAGCAGGATGATGGTATTTCTTTTGAGCTGTGTAGCCATTGTTGAATGTTTATGGGAAGATCACCTCCTCCTCATCACCTGTTCTTCAATGTCTGTTCTTGGACTTATGTCTGCCAAGTTTTTTGTTTATAAAATTCTCTCAAAGTTTTCTTTTCATGATTCTATATTATTAATTTTGTTACAAACTAAATAAATGTTAGATTGATAATTCTTTTTGGTGGTAAGAAAGCATCAACAAAAGGGAGGCCTGAATTCATTAAGAGCCAGGGTATTAATTTACAGAAAGACTCGATTATCATGAAGTAACTAGATCTTCTAGAATGCTCTGTTTACAGTGGTTGCGGTTCTGTTCTTTAAGGTATTTTTTCAATCTTATATGTGAAACTCTTCTTCCTAAGGAACATTCTTCATTATTTCTATTGAAGTACCAGAAGGTTTTACTCTTACAATCTAACATGTAAGTTTTTGATAATGTTTGAGTTCATTATGAGAACGATAAATTGGATTTTTGAATACTCATTTGTATATGAAATCACATGTTAAATACCTACCTTTATATCTAGATATGATTTATTGAACATGTTTGATTGGTTTATACAATCATTTTCCTGGAGACTAGGTTTAAAAACTTTCATTTACTCTCTATTTTATTCGTTTGTTTATTGATGACACATTTATTTATAGAATATAAATTTTATTTTTATCCTCTTACCTATTATCCGAATATACAAGAATTATTGGTTTTGCTTTTTTGGGTCTTAGAATTTGATTTAGTATTTGGTTTAATTAAATATGCAAATTATAAAATTATGTATTCATTTATAATGCTATGCGTAATAATGTCCTTTTGATAAATAATTACAAATTTAAATTGTTAAAATGGGTATTGAAACCTAGACATGAATATCATATTAATATATAACTTATATTCACAAATTAGAAAAACCTTTTATAAAATTAAAACAGTAAACAAACTATGAATTTTGAAGTGATAATACTTGCTGCTATTACTATATTTTCATTTACGAATATTAAAGATTTTTATTTTGGGATTTAAATAGTGTTTTTTCATTATAATAATCGAAAAATCAGTGATTTTTGGGTGGCAATTCTTTAAGAGAGTTCTTAGAGCCTATGCTACAAAGCTTGTCATGAAGCTGTCTTAAGGTGGTTTGGGGATTGTTGCAGCTGCGACGGGTATGGATGGACACATGAAGGTATAATTAACTAATTTTTTTAATCAGTTTAAATTGTTGCTTTCTGTTTTTTATGCTATTATGCTAATGTTATATGTCTCTAGATAAAGACATCTGGTATAGTTGAAATTCTAATGTGCTATATAGCCTTGCTGCTACGTACGTTGACCTTGACTTGACAGATTCAACCCAAACTCAAAGGAGGACCACAAGCTTGGGGCTCGACGAAAGAGAATAGCGACATACTTTATCTGGTATAGTTGAAAGTCTAATGTGCTACAACATATTTGTGTATTTGTAAATGGGCGAAACGTAGACAATAGCAACATACTTTACTGTAGCTACCAATTAGAACAATGTACTATACTTCCAAACAAAAGCGACACCTTCCGATCCCCCCGCAACGCGGGAGTCACCTTTCTAATTATTATTATTATTATTATTATTATTATTATTCATGTTCAAGGCAATATGCATGAACCTCGACTATTCGTTGGAATAAAATTATAAGATATAATTATCGAAAAAAACTTAGGTTGTGTTTGTTTTTTTAAAAAAAGCTCTTCTAACCTCTTAGTGCTGCGTGGCGCAGCACACGCGCAACACTTTTAAGTTCGCAACAGTTCGTTTTTCTGCAGACTTCGGGCTCAAAAACCTCTTCCCGTCCTCTTCCCCACACAGCATTGGGCTTAACTCTTCTAACCTCTTCTAGCCTCATTAAAAAAACGCCCTACGCCCTAAACAAAAAAAAACGCCGCTCCAGCCATCTTCTCGTTCGTTCTCCTTCTTCTTCTCGCATCCTTCCCATCGATCAACCTGTTGAAGACCGACTCCAGCCTCCGCTGCCCCTCCATCGCCGGTCGCCGGCCGCGGTTCCCCCTCAATCGCCGGTCGCCACTGCTGTTGGCATCGTCTTCACGTGCGATCTTTGCTGCCCTCGGTTTCATCAAGTAAGTTTTTTTTTTTTTTTTTTTTTCCTGATTTCTTATGCATTTGAGTACCGATTGTATGAATTTGAGTATCAATTTTCTGATTTCTTATGCATTTTGAGTACCGATTGTATGAATTTATATGCTCAAATTTTTTGACATCACCGATTGTATGAATTTATATGCTCAAATCTTTGCTGCCCTCGGTTTCATCAGCTTAACCCTTTTCTGTCCAATTTTTTTGACATCAGGACCGATTGTATGAACTTATATGCTCAATTCTTTGTTGCCCTCGGTTTCATCAGCTTAACCCTTTTCTGTCCAAATTTTTTGACATAAGGACCGATTTTCTGCTAAATTTTTTTGACATCAGGACCAATTTATATGCAAGTTTATATGTTGAAATCATAAATCTTTGTTGAATATGTTAAAGTCTTTGCTGAAATGGTTTTTTTTAACTTAATTATTGAATTGTTATCACTTGTATTTCTTAAATGGAGATCAAGTTTATGTTTATATGCAAGTTTGTGCTTAAATTGTTAAACTTATTTGTTGATTGTGTTGTATAATCTTTGCTTATATGGTTTTTTTTGTTCATTCATGATGTATTGTTGTTGAACCTAGTGCCTCACCTGATCCACCTTCTTGTGCCTCGCCTAAAGCTTCTATTACTGCTGATGATTTAGCATTGGAGATGCAAAAAGCTCTACGCCATTTGACTCAAGGGCCAACAATTCCCCAATGTTTAGAGAAGCTTGAGTTGCTCGAGTTAGACCCAGTAGACCCTCTACGATTTGCTGCGTATCACATTTTTGGAGGGACGATGAATATAAGAGAGATGTGGGTAAATTTGCCTAACGATCCACAAATATTAAGAGGATGAATTGAGATGACAGCTACAAGTTTAGGAGTTCTAAAGGATGGAAAGATTGTTCGTTAAGTTTATATGTTTGAGTTGTTTAGGTTTTAATTGCATGTTTTGGAACTATATGGTTATGTTTTTTGGTTATTTGCTACTTGAATGTTATTTGTAGTATTTAGTACTTGAATGTTATGGTATGTGGTACTTGAGATGTTATGTTATGTTATTTGGTACTTGAAATTTATGTTATGTTTTTTAGGTACTTGAGATTTATGATATGTTTTTTTGGTACTTGAAATTTATGTTATGTTTTTTGGTATTTGAATCTTATGTTATGTTATTATCTTATGTTATTATATGTTTTGTTGATTAATAGGTTTGTAATGGATCACGACAAAAAGATACTACTCATAATTCTTATGTACTTGTACGTCCGCTACTTTTGGAAGAGGGGTGTCAAACGAGTGCGGGACAACGATTCGGAAATGACGGGACATGAATTTACGTTAGAGTTACTTCACCGTAATCCTCTACAATGTCTTGAAGTGCTACGCATGTCCTGTGAATCATTTGTCCGGCTATGTGCTTATTTTAGAGTAAACTACGCATTAAAGGATAGCAAACATGTGTCGGTTGAGGAGAAGATGGCTATGTTTTTGATGATGATCGGTCATAACCAACGTTATGTGATTATCAAATGGAGATTTCAACACTCAAAGCAAACAATTCATAAGTTTTTTCATGAAGTGTTGGACAAAATGTTGCTTTTCGCACATGACATTATAGTACCAACTTCCTTTAATCCGAATCCAAACATTCCGGGACATAATAGGAGGCTACGACGGGTGTTCAAGGGAGCAGTTGGTGCACTTGATGGCACTTTGATACATGCTGTTGTCCCTGCAAACAAACGGGATTTATATAGAAGTAGGGGAAAAGACGATTGTTACCAAAACGTATTGGCAATATGTGACTTCAACATGATGTTTACGTTTGTTGTGGCCGGTTGGGAAGGGATAGCACACGATTCTAGAATTTTATCAGAAGCATTAGCAAATCCACATGCACCATTCCCGCTTCCACCACCAGGTAAATTTATGGTTATTTAAATAGTTTTATCTTAGTTTGAAAAATAAATGACTTTTTTTTTACAGATAAATATTATCTTTTGTGATGCCGCCTATGCAAACATTCGAGGTTTTATGGCACCGTACCGTAATGTGAGGTATTGGCTTGGAGATTTCAGTCGAAGACGTGTATTAACGAATAAAGAAAAATTTAACCATGCGCACGCAAAACTTCGGAATGTCATTGAGCGTGCTTTTGGTGTCTTGAAAGCACGATTCCCTATATTGAAGAGGATGGCACCATTCTCGTTGGTTACACAACGAAACATTACCCTAGCATGTTTTGCGCTTCATAATTTTATAAGAAGAGAGGGACTACATGATGAGTATTTTGCACGATATGATGAACCAAATGTCTCGGTTCGGAATAACAATGCAGTCATTGATAATGATGAAGATGAGATTCCAACACATGGTACTGCAGCGGACCGTGAATATATGACTCAGTTACGGGATGAAATTGCCGAACAATTGATGCAAAATATGGAATGAGAATTATTAAAGTTTGGTTGTATGAATTTTATTTAAAAATGTTATTGTAAAACTAATTTGGTTGTTTGAATTTTATTTCAATGTTTTAAGACTACAATTATTAAATTTTTGGTATTAAAAAACTATTTTCGGTGTACTTTATTTTAAATTTTTTAATATCTGCAGCAGGCTGCAGACGTTAAAAAAACAAACATGCTTCTCAGTACAGTCTGCAGCACTTTGGTCCACCTCTTTTGTTGCAAAGCAGAGGTGGTCCGCAGACTTCTGACAGTTTCACTTCGGAAAAACAAACAGCACCTTAGTTTAATCTTATAGCTCTCTTTAAGACTAGCTATTTATTGGTAAAAGAGATAGTCATAAAGTCATAACTTTACACGAACCAAAGCATACCACTCGTGACTAGACAATTTAGAATCATTAATATCAATCGTAGATATGTGTACCGCAAATTTTATTTATGATATTTGCTTTATCATGATTCTGTATTTTAATTATTAACTCGTCATCCACTCTTTTAGGCTTTGAGATATCGTCACGAGTGGTTTGTGAGTGAAGAGGAGACCCGATCATTAATTAACCATTCCACAACCAATCCACTATAGGTTGAAATGGTGTTCGCCAATGGCTAGACAATAGAGAGAGAGAGAGAGAGAGAGAGAGAGAGAGAGAGAGAGAGAGAGAGAGAGAGAGAGAGAGAGAGAAACCAATCAAATTGATCGTCTTTCTCCGTCTTCACAGCCACTCCACAGCCAAGCCACCGGTCCACGGGGTGTTGTTCACGTGTCCTTTGGGCTGCCACGTCGGAAATCACGCGTCTCTTTGCCCACCATTCCAGATAGCCTTACTAATTTTCAGATTTGTATCAAATTCATCATAAATTTACAGTTTTTATTATTAGTTATAATAAGTTGTATATGCTTTAACCCTTTAATTTTGTAAAGATTTGATTTAATATAGTAGTTTACGTAATTTACAATAGAATATAAGCTTTGACATTTAAAAGTCAACTCTAATACATATACGGAACAATAAGAAACCATATCTTCTATCCTTCGAAAAGTAGGCGGTAAGCATACCATTTACTTGTTGAGTTATAACAAATAAGGGTTTTTATCAAAAAAAAATCCTAAACTTTAAAAAAAATCAATTTAGTTCTAATTTTTTTTTTAATAGGAAAGCCCAAGAAACCGGTCAAACGTTACACTTAAATCCCTTTTGACATGTTTAGCAGGTCACTTATGCTTCATGGCATGCCAACTGGACAAAAACTGATGTGGATGCTTACCTGACGTGCTACATCAGCGTCTGGTACTTTAATTTGCAAAAATCAGATTTTTAATATAAAATAATGAAAGTGGGATTCGAACCCACCGCCTCTCACTTACAAATTTGTCCACTTTCCGCTAAACTAGAAACTTTTCATTGATTTCATTCCTCAAAGTTTAATATAAAGCTTTAAATATTGAAGCTTTTACAATTATTATTATTATTATTATTATTATTATTATTATATTTAAAAACGTAAATAACTATAATACTTCATAAATAAATATATTAAATGTATAAACGTATTTTTATGTATTTATATGGATTTTTAAGTATTTTTATGTGTTTTTTATATATTTTTATGTATGTTAAATTTATAAACATATTTTTACATATTTATATGTCTATATTTTACGTTTTTCAGTATTTTTTACGTATTTATATTGTTTTTAAGTATTTTTATTTATTTTATATGTATTTTTTATGTATTTTAAATGTATAAACATATTTCGTATGTATTTATTTATATTATTAAGTACTTTTATGTAAAATACAAAAATATACATAAGTACGTACAAAACACGTTTATACGTTTACAATACATAAAAATACGTAAAAATATTTAAATATACTTAAAAAAATACATAAATACGTAAAAAAATATATTAAAAATATATAAAAATACGTAAAATTACATATAAAAATGTATAAAAAGTATTTATGCATTTAAAATACATAAACATATTTTAAAAAAATTTTAAAAATACAAAAATTTGTAAAACAAATATATAAAAATACGTTAAAATACTTAAAAAAAATACATATAAATACGTAAAAAATATGATTATACATTTAATATATTTATATATTTACGTTATTAAATAATAATAATAATAATAATAATTGTATTAAAAGTTTCAACATTTAAAGCATTATATTAAACTTTGAGGAAAAATCAAAAAAAAGTTTCTAGTCTAGCGGAAAGTGGGTAGCTTTGTAGTAAGAGGTGGTGGGTTCGAATCCCACTCCTTTTCTGTCTATTAAAAATCCGATTTTTGCATATTAAAGTACTAGTCGCCGATGTGGCATGCCACATAAGCATCCACATCAGCCCTTGTCTAGTTGGCATGTCATGTGGCATAGATGACCTGCTGAACAAATTAAAGTGTGGGCTTTTCTATTAAAAAAAAATGGGACTAAATTGAAACTTTTTCCAAAAGTTTGAGACTTTTTTGATACAAAATCATATTTTAAAAAATTTTAAAAAATACAAAAATTTGTAAAACAAATATATAAAAATACGTTAAAATACTTAAAAAAAATACATATAAATACGTAAAAAATATGATTATGCATTTAATATATTTATATATTTACGTTATTAAATAATAATAATAATAATAATAATTGTATTAAAAGTTTCAACATTTAAAGCATTATATTAAACTTTGAGGAATTAAATCAACAAAAAGTTTCTAGTCTAGCGGAAAGTGGGTAGCTTTGTAGTAAGAGGTGGTGGGTTCGAATCCCACTCCTTTTCTGTCTATTAAAAATCCGATTTTTGCATATTAAAGTACTAGTCGCCGATGTGGCATGCCACATAAGCATCCACATCAGCCCTTGTCTAGTTGGCATGTCATGTGGCATAGATGACCTGCCGAACAAATTAAAGTGTGAGCTTTTCTATTAAAAAAAATGGGAATAAATTGAAACTTTTTCCAAAAGTTTGAGACTTTTTTGATAAAAACCCTAACAAATAATTATAAATTCTTTTAGTTTCTATTATATAATTATTTTTGAGAAAATAACACATTAGCTCAACATTGTATTTTAAATTTGTCGAATCAGTCTCTTAACTTATTTGTGTAATTTATGAAGAAATAAGGTGTATTTTAACATGTTTACTTGATCCCTTTAACCTACAATAACCGGTTTTATATGTCATGTAATCAATTGAATTTGACGTGGCTCCTTCTACAGTGACTAAACTAGACCAACCTCAAAACACTCTTCCTTGAAAAGTCATCTGACGGACAAGTATCTATGGCATCTTCATCGCAAACTCATTTTGCTCCCCTGCTCACACTCAAACACACTTCTCCAATTCCATTGCCCTCATCAGGGGTAGAGCTTGAACAATTAATTTGGGGGGCCGAAACTAAAATCATTGTTCTTACAAAATAATAATAATAATAATAATAATAATAATAATAATAATAATAATAATAATAATAATAACAGGAGGGGGGACTGGCCCTTAATAAGCTCTGCCTGTGGCCTCATGATCTTCGTGGTTGTGGATTCTGATAACGAATCGATCGATCCTCTCTT